AAAGCTAGGTCTAGTGAAAAGTATTGGTATTACTAAGCAAAAGCATGCTAGCCTTGATCCTTCCATTGGACATTTAAATTGGTTTCGTTATCTATGATGCATAGGAAGAGGTCTGTGAGCCATGCAATTTCTTTCTTATAGAAATGTGGCTATTTGGCTGGGTTGCTTCTGCCTAGCAATTCCTGCAATTCATTAGGCCCAGGTGGAAGTTGATGAAAATTCCAAGTCTCAATATTTTCTTCAAATAACAGACCTAAATAAATAAAGCTATCTGAATGGCTGCCTCTTAAGAAAAATATTCTTAGCTCTAAAAGATAAAAGAAGAGAAATTTGGGTAACTAGAAGGTCATAAAGTTAAATACAGCTGAAGAATTTTACCTTGATCATTTTACCTGTTTTAAAAAATGAAGATGTAAAAAAAATTTTGTAACTAATGTCTACCATTATAAGTTTTAGTTGTTGTTCTGTTGTTGTTAGGTGCTACTGAATCAAGTACAACCCCTAGTGACCCTATGAACCACAGATATGAACCCTATCCTATTGTGTTCCATCCTCACACTTTCTGATACACTAGAGCTCATTGTGGCAATCTTTGTGTCAATTCAACTGCTTGAGGTTCTTCCTTTCCTTTTCCAATATTTTGCCTTTCCAAGCATCATGTCCCTCTCTACAGAATGTTCCTTTACTGTTCATAGGGTTTTCAAAGGCCTGTTATTAGAGGAGTGGATAGCCAATCCTGCCTCCTAGTATGTCTTAATCTGGGAGCTCTAATACAACCTGTCTGCCATGGTGGCCTTTTGCCACACCAGTGACATAACTTTCAGTATAAAAGCAATCCAAAAATTACCTTAGTACAACAAACTGACAGAAAAAATGCTATACCAATCAGAACAACGTTCTCCCCAAGCACAACAAACTGACATTTTAGTTTGTAACTAATAAATCAGTAAATCAGTCTTCACGCCAGGCTAAATAATTTTTAATCACAAAAGCCCACCAACCAGGTCCTAACTAGTTTAAATAAGAGGCTCTCAGTCCACAACTTACTGTTAACTAAATAAAGACGACCAAAAAGTCCACACTTGATGACAGTTACCATAGATATTAGTCTATCAGTCTCTCTCTTTCTCTCCTCCTCCTCTCCTTCCTTCCCTCCCTTCCTCCCTCTCTGTCTTTACCTTCCTCTCTCCTTCCCTTCCTCCAACATTCCCTCATTCTCTGTATAGCTCTCTCCCTCCTTCTCTTTTCTGTCTCTCTCTCTCTCACTCTCTGTGTGTGTGGTTTGCTCTCTCCTTACCATCCTTCCCTATCACATTTCTCTTTCCTTCCAGACAGATGCTAGAGAACTATTCAAAACACAGTCTGTAATGATGACTATCCCTAATGAGATAGTTATTAGGCCATTAAAGTGCAACCAGAAAGTAATTTTGAAGGGTGATAATAGTGTCTATTATATTAAAATTATTATCTATTCCAGTTGCCTAAAGGGTCAGTCATACACACACTCACTCTACAGATTATTTTTTTTTCTTATATCTCAATAGTCTGAGCCAAATAACAGAGTTTTAGTTAGATATATGAAATTATTTGAACTTTATCTTGTTCAATGGTTTATTTACATGATGTCTACAACTGAAGTGGAGATTGTCAATGACTATAGGATAGAGCATGTCAACCATAGAAAATCAAAAAGAGCAGTTCAACCCAATTCTGATAAACACAATCTTAGCTAAGCACATTTAAAAGAGTTCTTATACATATTTTATTTTATTTTATGGAGTGAAAAAGAAAAATGTGGGACATATGCCATAGTATTAGCACATTTTAAATTTGAACTGTAACTTGGGATACTTTTAAGGGTGTGACAAGAGTCTACAATGAAAATACTGAATCCCAGAGGGAAAAATTAAACCATAGTTTTAAAAACTCATTACCAATAATTAATAATGAACTCTAGCTAAACAATAACAGGTGTTCTACTAATCCCAAACAGAAGCAGATGGAAGCACAAATGTTTTATAAATAGTGGATACATGCAGAGCAATAAACTTTGCAGAAATTGTTTTATTCTCTAATTGTCAGTCAGAAGCAAATACATTATCACTTGCATTTTTTTCTAAGTTAATATGCTCTGATTTAATATTTCTTGCTATTTTTGAAAATGCAGACTCTATTTATGGATTCCTCACTCCATTTTGTATATTGCTTCATCAAAAAGTTTATTAAACTTTCTCTTTGTGGATTTATGAAATGTTACTTAATGTGTTACATTCGACAACCCATATACCACAGAAACCCATTCCTCTGCCTGCAAAAGAAATACTGACCTAAATATATTTTTATTTCTTGTATAACAATAAATCTTCTAAATGTAGAAATATATTAAGAGTATTAGAAATTAATAAATTGTTGTTATTATTGTTACGGGCAATTGAGACATACATGACTTAACAGCTACCCTATGAACAAAAGACCTGAACACGTGTATAACTTCCATCGTTTCTCCATGTTCATAGAGTTTTTGGAGGCAAGATATTTCAAAAGTTGATGCCACTCCTGCTTTCAAGCTTGTTTTAATCGGGAAGCTCCACCAAACACTGTCCACCATGGATAACCATCATCGTATTTGACACATCAGTGTCACAGTGTTTAACATCACAACAACCACGAGTTAACCTCTGTAAGTAGTGTCAGCCAATTTAATCCTACATAACTTGGAAATTAATTTCAGGTATTTTAATACTACACTAATAACGACTAGAGTGAATATATTTACATATGCCTTTACATGGTCATTTCCTGAATGGTCTTTAAGGGACTCTTCCCTCTCTCATGCAGAGATGGTTTTTAACTGTTCTTTCTTACCTTGATCTACAGCGTAACTACCAGAATGCATGGTAAGTATATCCACAGATAAATTGTTAGCCTTCTTCTTACTGACTGTAAGTGTTTAAGGGCTGTCTTCGTCTCCTAATTTTCTTCAAAATCGTATTTTATTACTAAAATTAGCACATATTTTTAATATTTTCAGTTGGACAGGAAACATCTTATTGTCCACAAAAATTTAAAATTACCATAATATAAAGAAAATACAGGTAGTCTCAGCTTTAAAATTCCCAACTATATCTTCAAGCCTAATTTGTAACTTGGAGCAAATGTACATTGTGCCTATTTTTTTAGTCTTGCTCCAGAGGAAGAAAAGACTGAAGACTCTTCAATGATTTACAAGCAACATATTCAGAAAGTGAAAGTGTTTGTGGTGAAGAATTTATTGCAAGTAGGGATTGGTTGAATCATTTCAAAGTTAGGCAAATTTCCATAACACGTTATCCCGTGCTTTAATTCTTAAAACTTGGAAATTTAACTGTTTTCTATAATTCCCATTAGTCATTTGTTAATTCAAGCTCATCACCCATACAAACCCATCATTTATTAATACAATTACAGGATGCTTTAAAATTTGGAGTTCGTGTAGAATATAGCTTTATTAAACCATTAGACCTAACAAAACAAACACAGCAAAAAACTTTTTCCTTAAAATTGAAATAACGATGTGTACAGATTGAGACTTAACCAGAGTTGAGTAGTTTATTTTTTATGGGCTGCTCAATGGATAGTCATAAAGCTATCTGGTTAAACATACCATATTAAATTTGTCAAACACTTAAAACATTATGAGGGAGCTCTGGTGGCCTAGAGGCAACATTATGATATCAATTATCAAATATAAATATTAATTTCATAACTAATTAAATAATAAAAATAACACATGTTTCTACTAAATGCTTTGGCAATAACTTATGAAAGTTGTTTCAATTATATCTATTTTAACTTTAAGCAAATTAAAGATGATTTGCTCAAAGGTAAAACCTGACAAAGTCAGACTCTCTTTTTTCATGATAATAACCTACCATCCTAAATGTTTTCACCTAATTTTGCATTGGTACAACACATATACAACACTTGTACATTGATTATTTTCATCTATTAACTCACTGTATGTTTGCAAGTTTCATTTTCTCATTCTAGTGTATAACTCAATAAAAAGTAAAAGGAAAAAGGAAAAATCCTTAAACAAGCTACTGACATTAATGAATCCAGAACCCAAAGCTTTCATGAATTTCTAATGGGCTAAAACCTAGCTATGATAAATGCTGTGTGTCTGTTCTGTAGTATGTGAATGTATTATAATTATGCACTTTAGACAGAGTTCTATGAAAATAATTAAGAAAACAAAATCTAATCTACTTTAAACATTCAGCTTCAATTATTCTTATGGAAATTAACCTCTTTCTTACCAATGTCACTTTAGAAATGTTTCCTCATATGTAAGTATAGTACTACGTATTTTTAAATCCACCAAAGACATAATCCAGGCAATAAAGTTATTCATTCTTAATTAAGATATTAGTAAGCAATCTCTTGTACACTGTAGGCAACAATTAAAGACAGAACACATAATCCATAAATTCCTTTGCCATTGTATTGACAATTAACTCCAAGGTTTACAGTATTCATCGGTAGCAGTTCTTTAGAGGGATTAAGCCAAGCACATGCATAAGCGACAAAACCAAAAGATTTTAGAAAGAGAGATTAAATATTTGAAATAAGATAGAATTTAATATAAATTTTGGTCCCTATTGGGGGGGGAAGATGCTTTTATTGTCAGAGATCTTTTCTTCTAGTTTACCAGGTATAAAATAAAATTATTCGTTTCTTTAGTCGAAGAGATTTTTAAAGATATTAGCACTTATTTTGTGCAGAAAGATATTAATGCCTTTGTACCTTCAGCTGACTTCATTTACAATAGGTCATGCAGTAATAAAAAGTAGAATTTTAATACCCTTATGTCATTATTAGTTTTTGTTTTTATTTATTCTAATTCCACACATGCATTAACTCGGTATTTATAAGATGAAAATATGGCGTAGTGCATGAAAAAGCTATCAATCTTAGAAATGAAGACCATTAAAACAATCACACAATTTGTTTTGGAATACCTGGTTTCAAATCCCCATGGACAAACATGTCAATCATATATCGACAGAATGCATACTGATCTGACAGAGTGGAAAGAAAAAGAGCAATAAGAAAACGTCATCAACACCTTTCATTTACCACGGGAGAAATGACTTAACAAAATAAATAAATAAGCAAAATAGCAGCTCTATTTTGGTTTCTACAGTATTTTCTCTGAAGGAATAATTTGCATTCCGATTAAACATACAGGAGGAAAATGACATACATTTAGATGATATTTCATATGCTATACAAATAAAGGATCTTAAAAATGGAAACTTGACAGCTCTAGAATACACTATGTGCATTTATAATAGCTATTTTATATATTGTAGTGTCAACATTTTAAAATTAAATGTTCTACATTCACCATAATAGGAAACAGATTACTGCACAGTAATGTTATATGGTTGTTTTTATAATCAAAACTTTTACAAGCTTATTAAAAAATTCATGATATTAAAAGTAATTGTTCTTCTTGTTCTTTCTTGGATCCCAATAATGAAGCAGAAGTAATATAAGAGGAAATTATGTCCACCTTGTAATGTCTAAATGAATATTCGCTCTTCGTTTTTTCTTCTAATTGGCTAAATGGAACTGGTGATATTTTCTAGAAAATATCAGCAGGAGGGCTAACCTCTTTATATAATCTGTCTAGAGAACTTTGTAAGAAAGTACTCATCAATTAGAATAGTAAACCAGAGAGGACAGTCTCACAGAACAAGCTGACAACATAACTAAGCTAATTAATCGAGTCATCTTTATAAGAAGATCATCTTGTCTATTGTATATGCGGGGGAAGTAAAGAAAAAGGGTCAGGATACGAGCATTTGGATGAGTTTGGTTAGAAATTACTTCAAGGATTTATTTCTTTTTCTTCCTCTAAATTAAAGACATTGCATCTAACTTGAAATTCTCGCAAACCTTGATTCTGAGGTTCATTCAACATAAATCTCAGTTAACAAATTCTTTTACAGGTTTTACATTATATTTTATATCTGCCACCAGAGCTCAATAATCTATCTATCTATATATCTCCCATTATAAAGTGGAATCTATTCAGACTCCTTGTTGTCCTTTTGGAAAAAGTAGAAGAGTCTCACAGAGTATCCAAAATCAAAATCTTTACAGAAGCAGATTGCCTCGTTTTGTTTCACAGAACAGGTGGATTAGAATGACTGACTTTCAAACTAGCAAGTTTCAAGTTAATTTTCAAGTTCTTTCTCTCCAAATATAGTAATTTAATTGTTGTTGAGAATATGAACAGCATAAAATATACTAATTCAACAGTCCCTAACGTTCAATTCAGCTACACTGGTTACATTTTTCAAGATCTGCAACCATTCCCAAATTCTTTTCCAAGTTGTTCCTCCTGTATAACATAGAAAGTACTGACCACTAACCTACTTAATTCTTTAGATTACTATTGGCACTTTGATCTCATATACAAGGATCTTAATATGATGATATTTGTAAATAATTAAGCTAAAAAATTGGTTGGCCTTAAGATAATAACTTCAAGAGATATTTTTGGTTTAAGATTATCTCTGGACATTAGTTTCAAGATTCACCAAGTTTCGTGGCACCAGAAATTATGGATTCCAAGAGAATTAAAGCCCATTCTGCATTTTCTTTCTTTTGATTAGGATTCTTCTATATAGATTTTTATCAAAATATTCCTCAATTAAGCATTTTATTTTTCAAAGTATGTTGTTGTGTGTCATTGATTCATTTCTGACTGATAATGGTCCTATGAAACAAAGTACCAAAGTACTCATAAGGTTTCCTACATTTTAATCTTTACATAACAGACTGTCACATCCTTTTCCCACCAAGTACCTGGTGGAGTCAAGCCAATATTTTAGTTCACAGACCAGCACTTAACAATTGTATTATATCATTGACATGTGATAATATTCTTAAAATAGGCATAATTTTAACTCAACAAATTCAGACAACAATAACATCAAGTGCGTTTATTGATCAAGTTATACATCATGTTTCTATTTTTTCAAATAATTTATATCAAGCATGTAAAGTAATATAACTCATTACCATATAAACATACATTCAAAGATATTTGTAAATCTCATTCCTCCTACAGCATGAATAATTTTATAGTAACTCATTTTAAGGCTCTGCAAGATCTTTGAAAAATGTATAGTTATTGCAGTTGATTTAAAAATACTTTGTTATTTTAGTATGAATAGGCCAAAATTAATAACATTTCTATATATTTTGGTTATTAAAATTAAAGCAAATTTTCTCTTAAGTGAAGATTAGGAATAGGAACTAAATTTCAGATAACCACATGAATCTATTTGTTCCATAACAAATTGACTGTAGTAGCCTATTTCTGATCATTTGGTATAGAAGAAATATTAGATTAAATGTAGATGCTATTTAGAATGAATAATCTGAGTGTAGGATGAAGCAAAATTAAAAAAAGGTATTTGGAGTTAAGTGTTAAAAATTTATAGAAATAGTAATCAAGAAATCAAACTATGCATTGCATTGGGAAAATATGCCACAAATATCTCTATTAAAGTGTTTTTTAAATGAAAATAAAGATATCACTTTGAGGACTAAGCTACACATGCATGACTCAAGCCATAGTATTTTTCACCTCATCTACATTTAAAAGCTGGACAATGAATAAAGAAGTTTGAAAATGAATTGATGTGGGTATGGGTGAAAAATATTGAATATTTCATCAACTGCCAGGAGAATGAACAAAATTATCTTAGAAAATATATAGGAAGAATACTGGGTAGATGTAAAGATAGTGAAACTTAGTCTCACATATCTCGAACATGTTAAGGGAAAAAAAAAAAGGAACAGTCCCTGGAAAAAGACAGCATATTTACTCCAGCAAAGGGTCAGTGAAAAAAAGGAAGAACTTCTCAATTAGATGAATTAACACAGTGCTTAGAACAATGAGCACAAACACAGCAATGACCATAAGTATGGCAAACAGGACTGGATGGTGTTTCTTTCTGTTGTCCATAAGCCAGGGTTGCTGAGTATGACCTGTCTTGGCAGCACCTAATATTAAAAACAATCACCCAAAAATAGTTCCAAAATCCCAAGCTCAAAGAACATACTTCCACGATGAGTCTAATAAGATCACATTTGAAAATCATTGTCTACAATCTTCAGGTTTTTTCTTCACAGTGATTTACCTCATGGCACTACAGTCTCAAGCAGCAGCACTGGAGATTTTTGCTTTAGTTCTTTCAAATGTTTTTCAGCAGTTTAGAAGGAATTTATTATATAAAGAGTATAGGTAACAAACACTCTTCCCAAAACATTATTATCTGTACTAAAATATGAAGGGATGTTCATATAAATAGCATGTTGAAATATACGGTGAATTAACTTAAATCTACATATTTCTGTTTCTTTAACTGAATGTTGACAATGTAATAGGATGTTTAGAATAGAAAAAATTATTTAACTTGTATCAATTTAACTTGAATCAATACCAAAATCAAAGTTTCATTTATAATACCAGTATTTCTGGGATAAAAAAGCATTCATTTAATTGACACATTAATATTTCAATGAGCTCTAGATTTAAAAAGAAATCTCCTGAATTTTAAAAATATTTATTTTCTTGTTCTTAATTAAAATTATTTGAGCTATAACACTTAGGAGATTTCTGTCATATTTAAAAAATGATGGAGTCTTTAATAGCATTATAATTTTACAAAAATGTTTTCAATGAACACTTTTCAAAAGGTAAAATTCTCATTTCTATCTATACTCAATGGTAACCTCAAATTCAAACCCAAGCCAAATTCACTGTCAAACAAGTCAATTCCAATTCTTACAAACCCTAAAAGACAAGGTAAAACTGCCCCACAACTATCCTTATAGAAACCACAATCAGCTACCTTTTTCCTGGGGAGTAGCTGGTGGATTCAAGCTCTGACCTTTTTAATAGCAGCCATCTGCTTTAACCACTGCATCATTCAGCTTCTTTGTTGTTGTTCTGTGCCATTGAATAGGAACTGACTCAAAGCTGACCCTCCATAAGGTTTTCAGAAGCTACACATTTCAGGGGAGGAAACTGCCCTTTTGGGAGCAGCTGCTGGATTAGAATCACCTGTTCGGGGTTAGGCAGCACAACTCTTTACTCACTTAGGCCACCAGGCTCCTTAGCAATGTATAAAAACTTTAAACAGGTTTGTGTTGAACAGTGGATGAAAATTCTAGATAGATATGTGTTGAGCAACACTAAATGTGTCTTCATCATTTAGCTAAAGGAAAGTTTTCTTGCTTTTGGAGGAGATTTTTATGTAAATATATCTTCATTAAACATAAACTCAACAGTTAGAATAGGAAACCTCCCTTAAAATCTGAACAAATCTAACTTTAATAATTTTGAGACATTATTTGGAGAAATTTTATATTTGGTGTTTTAGTGTTATTTATTCTGCAAATAATACTTCTCTTAGAATAATAACTGTTTCTTCGCTTGCTCTCATGGAGCGATGATTGATATTATTTTGCTGCCAGCTGGTATGTGCTGTCATTGGGGTGCAGTAGGAAAAAAATGCATTCTAGGTGTAGAATAGCAACAGAAAGAAGGCAAGGAAATAAGAGAAAATCCTTCAAATGAGCATGGGGTACATGTGGCCTGGTGCATTATGGTAAATTCATTCAGATTAGCTATGCCTTTCCTCCTTGCCTCAATTACTGAAATAATTGCAAAATAGATAATTTCAAATATAGGAAAGGAATGAAAAGGAGAATACTGGGAGAAAAAAGTTAAGCAGCTGACAGGTTCATTTTGTTTCCTCACAGATTTGCCATAGGGCATTGGAAAATGAGAGAGCCTTGCTTAATCATGATGACATTTCTCAGACTATTGGGCATAAAACCGACACTAATTGTTTTAGATTATGTTAAGTGTCCATATATGCTTATAATCAGTATGTACTATGTATCAATTTATTTTCAATACTTTCAATAGAAATAAGCTGAGAAACATGATATTAAGAATAGCCATATAGGCATATATTTACCTAGGTATTACAGAGTCAAGTAATTACCAGTAAATGTGTCTATACCGTGTACAAATCTGCTTGGAAGTGAGTGTAGCTATTTTAGAAAGTTCTGTGGGTCTGTTACTTACAAATAAATGTTTAGGAAACTTTATTTGTTTGTTTTGTTTAGTTAAAACCACAATATGTGTGTTAGATAGTACTCGCTGCCACATGTGTGGGGGGGAAAAAAACCAACCCAAACGAACAAACCCACCATGTGATTTAGTTTTTGGTAAAAGAATATAGTTAAGCATTTGCTTAGTTTTTTTAGAAAAGTCAACATTTTTGACCAGTTGTCAGAAGCTAGTTTTCTGCTTTTTACCTAATGATTGAAGCTCAATGTCAAGAAGACAAAGATTCTCACCATTGGACCAAATGGCAGCATTAGGATGGATGATGAAGAGATTGAGATTGTTCACAGCTTTAGTTTGCTTGGCTCCACAATCAACACTCTTGGCACCAGCAGCCAGGAAATTAAAAGACATATTGTGATGGGAAAGTCTGCTATTAGGAACCTCTCTAAAGTCCTCAAGAGCAACAGTGTGTCTCTGGAGACTAAGGTGCATAGTCTTTGCCATAGTACAGGCCATAGTCTTTGCAATCACTTGTTATGCATCAGAGAGCTGGACAATGACCAAGGAGGATAGAAAGAGAATTGATGCTTTTGAGCTTTGGTGTTGGAGAAGAGTGCTGAGGGTGCCATGGACTGCTAAGAAAACAGATTCATCCTGGAGAGGGTTAAACTGGGCTGCTCCTTGAAGCCACGGATTCTGAGGCTTCATCTGACATACTTTCGTCATGTTGTAAGGAGAGACCGGTCCTTGGAGAAGGACATCATGCTTGGGAGGGTGAAGGGCAGGCGCAGGAGGGAAAGGCCCTCTGGGAGATGGGTTGATTTGGTGACTGGAGCAATCAAGATGAGTGTGTTGGAGACAATGAGATTGGCATAGGACAGAGCAGAGTCTAGAGCTGCTGTATATAGGGTCGCTATGAGTCACAAGCGACTCGACGGCACATAACAACAACAACGATACATTTATTTAATTGCTAGCTAATCTCAATGATGGGAACAGAGAAGATAGCAATGTCAACCCATTAGAGGAGAAAAGCCAGGCGATCTGCCCCTTTGAATCTGCTCTCACAGCCTAGAAAGCCCTGTGGAGTGTTTCTATTGTGTCCTCTAGGGGTCCCTATGAATCATAATCAGCTTGAAGGCACACAATAGTAACAATAGCATCCTCAATAAAGAAACCCTAGTGGTGCAATAGTGAACAAATGTTGGCAGTTCTAACACATAAAGACATGACAAGCTGCATCCCTAAAAATTCTAACCAAATAAATTCTATGGGGAAATTCCACTTTGCTTTATGGGAGCATTATGAATTAGAATCGACTGGAAGGCGTCTAACAAGAGTAGGTATTCTCAGTAGGGATCATTGAATTAGCCATTGCATTTACGTAGCTGCTAAAATCACATTTGTGCTCACGTTCCGCATGCTAAGCTATCTGGAATGTACTTTTATTAGGAAAACAGCTCTTCATGTGGAAATTAAAATAGTAGATTGAAAATTAAAATGCTAATAAGATATTTTTAATGATTTTTTGCTTATTAATATGGATCAAACAAAATATACATGATGTGGAAAATAATGTTATTTGAAAATGTCCTCAAGACTTGTCTTCATCAATGAAATGTATCCAGAAAAGTCCTAGGTCATTATCTCCATATATAATGCATTTTGCATACTGTGTTTATGGATCAAAAATAAAAATATATTTGGTATGTTGCAAATGACTTCATGTGATTGTGTTTATTTTTAAATGGTGATCTGAAATGCAAATTATTTTAATGTTTTCCTATTTCTTTTAAATAAATATGTAAGTGAATTAGATTGACTCATATATTGTTTTCTTCCACTACAAAATATTTCAATAAATTTTTTTATTTTTATATAGGTAGTATAGCTGTTAAGAGAAAAATGAATTAAATTTTTAAAGACGATACCATTAAGTTGATATTCTATTTAAAGCAAGGTTTTAAAGAGCCCTCATTTACTTATACTTGTATCTAAGCTTAAAATGCCAGAAAAATAAATTGTGAGAAATAAAATTTATCAAAATTTAAAAGTTTTTATATAATTAATATTTTTTAACTTTTCCTTTATTGTGTTTTTCCTTCTATTTTTTAATTAGTTTAAATTTTTTATTATTTTGTTTGTATGTACCATCAAATCAGATCTGACTGTACAGGAGGAGATTGTTCATCCTTCTCCAGAAATGCGTCTGGTAGATTCGAACCGCTCATCTCCAGGATTACAGTACAGCTTCTTGCCACTAGGCCACCAGAGTTCACCTGGTTTTTTTCTTCTAAAAATATATATTTATAGGTTTGTAACATAGATTAAAGTTGTTTCATACTCATTAGCTTTAAGTTTAGGATAAATAATATTTCAAAAATATTAAGTGGATTATAACATACTTTATGCATTGTAAAAAGGAAATATTATATCTAATTCACTGTCCAAGTTCTAATATACCTTAAATAAAAGTCACATTAGAATACTTTATTTTAATTTACCAAATAAAATTACTTAAAATTATAACCAAACCAAAGGAAATTTTTGTTTGTCAATAGCCTGTGACATTATTATATATGAGCAGTTCCTACACAGTAGGTCCCATCAGCTGAATGGAATTCCCAGGACTGTGTAGAAGTAGGAACCAGGTATGCACCTGGAGAAGGAAATATTCAGCAAGGGCTTAAATGCACCACAACGAAGTCCTTAGCTGCTCTCTTAACTCTCCACTCTGTATATCTAAGTATTGCCATTTCATAAAGAATATAAAATTTATATCCCAACTCCATTTAAATGTAATAAGACAGTCTCCAGGCATTGAATATTCATCTTACATACAATCTCTAGTTATGAACTTACCCCATAAAGTTTATTTGTATTAAAAATTCAAGATACATATAATGGTTCCTAATAACAAATGAGTCCTACTCCGTGGAGGATCAAAGTACTGCTTTGTCTTTATTGTAAAGGTATTTCACTATATTTCTTTAATATTTTAAGCCTGGAACATTACCCTATATAGTATGTACTAAAGCATATATTTGACTATCTGACATTAGATATAATCCATACTTAACTCTTCTGATTTGCATATAAATTAGATGTAAAGACAGATTAAATCTCTGAACAGCCCGTATTTATATTCTCAGGAAAGAGTGGCACAAGATAGTTGAAACTGGGATTTTGAAAGCTCTGAATTTTGTCAAGGGATATTGGCAAAGAACCTTAAGAGTTCTTATCCCCATGATGCCTTGCCTATTAAATGAAATTCAAAGTTCTGTGCATTTTCTAAATGATGTGCTCCTGCAGAAACCTCAGGAATGTATGGTTATTTTTTGCCATCATACTAATTCCATGGGATCGAAACACACACTACTTAAAAAAATTCACTGAAGTTGTCATTTTCCTTGACTGCTTTTCTCCGGAGTACACCATACATCATTTTTATTGCACTTCTTCATAGATTATTTCCTATTTCTAGAGTTCTGCAATGACACCAATCTCTAAATTGTTCCAGATACTAGCTCAAATTCTGTTTTCGAGACACTCCAAATGCTTTTTTTTAGATATGTGAACACATATTAGTATTTCTACTAATATATTTTCATTATCAACTGATTATAATTCCATCCATTTACAAATGCACATGGTCAGCCCCTGTTTGAAGCCTGGTTTTGGTCTTTGTAAGCTTTTTGGGTCACTGCATCTGTAACTTTCCCAGCATCCTCTCAGAACCTCTGGCATCCTCCTCCTCTGAGTGTTTACCTTTCTGTTCATGCTTTGGTGCAGCTGCTGTTGCTTTGTCCTCTTTCTCTTTGTCTTTGGGTTTTGGTGATGTTTTCTGTGCTTCTTTTACTTTTGCAGCTGTTTGCTTCACTTTCTCTTGTTTTCCACCTTTCACTTCCTTTTTAGTCTTTTCTTCAGCCTTTTCCTTAGTTTTAACTTTCTTCTCTTCTACAGAGTTAAAGAAAAGTTGCATTATTTTTGCTTACTTAACAACATCATGTTTAAGCATACCTTAGTAACAGAAGGTCATTTGACAAAGAACAAAACTACTAGAAAAAAAAACGTTATTCTTGACATAAATGTTATTGTCTCTGTTAGATGCTGGTGAGTTAACTACAACTCATTGAAATTCTACAAACAACAGATCAGAACTTGTCCTTGTATATCATTATCTGAATTCTACGCAGTTTATGAAGCACTATGTGGACTCCTTAACAGAAAAGCTCACTTGCAAGTTAAGGCTTTTAAAAACTTTTACATGAAAAAAGTGTGTGTTCGTCTTAGCATGTCAATGAAGAGATGTTTGTAATCCTCAGTGAATGTGGACACAATTAAAGGAGCTCTTCAGGCCAAAGAGCCTAAAGTAGCCTCCTTTTAAAAATTATGTAAAAAATTACTCATGAGTCACTCAAGAAACTGAATACCAATAAAGCATTTTTTCAAGATATAGGATTACCTGTTCTGGTATTGCCTAATAGAAATAAAACAATAAACTATTAAGAGGATATCACTGAGAGATATTCTGCAATTACTTGAGTGAAATAAAGAGACTGAGATAGTGACTCCCATTAGAGATAGAAGGAGCAACAGTGGTGTAGTGCCTAATGGGACGGACTGCTAAAAGGATGGTGGTTATGGTCTTTTTAGTTTATATTCCCAGTAGTGGCATTGCTGGGTCAAATAACGTTTCTATTCCCAACTTTCCGAGAAAGTGCCAAACTGTCTTTCATAGTGGATGCACCATTTTACACTCCCACCAACGGTGAATAAAAGTTCCAATCTCTCCACAACCTTGCCAGTATTTATTGTTTGCTGGGGTTAGATGATATCTCATTGTGGTTTTTATTTGCATCTCTCTGACAGCTAAATATTTTGAACATTTCTTCATCCAAACAGATATATGCACACCCATGTTTATTGCTGCATTATTTACAATAGCAAAGGGATGGAAGCAACCCAAGTGCTCCTTAACAAATGAATGGATATACAAACAATGGCATATTCATACAATGGAATACCATGCAGCACTGGAAAACAATAAACTCATAAAACATTACACAACTGGGGACCCTGGAGAATATCATGCAGAGTGAAATATCTCAATTTTAAAAGAACAAATACTGCATAGCACCACTGTAGTTGGGAAGAGAATAGGATAAGAGTGGATAGACAAGGATCATTGCATTAGAACAGATAAAAGAAAGAACTGTCTAAAATGAATATATGATTAGACATTTTAGGTACAACAAAGAAATATATCATTGCAAAGAGGACTGAGGACGAGGGAGAGGTAAGTAATTGTGTAACAATGAATGAATATGGAAAAAAAAAAAAAGACAAACCAAAAACTAACCAACAAACTGTGAACTATGGAAGGGGGAAGAGGAAATTCTGTCAACCAGCTGTTCTGCAGGAGAAATATAAGTAGTGTCTTTTAGTAAAGATGTATGGCCCCACCTAGAAACTTGATAAAAAGTTGTTGCTATGAGAGAACATTGACTCAGCAACAGTGGAGATTTGCAGTTTACGGTTGTTGTGTGCTATCAAGTCAGAACTGACTCATAGTTGACCCTTCAGCAGGTTTTCAGTGGTAGTAAATTGCATGGGAAGGAGTGCTTACCCTTCTCCCGTGGCCTGCCGCTGAGATTGCAGCCCCGCTTCTTACTATCAGGCCACTAGATTTCCAGTAGGCAGAGATAATAATTCCAATGGCTCTTAAAGCCCATAAGTATATGTATCACTAGCTGTTTCAGTAAGTCTTTCGTGATATTCATATTTCAATGAATTTGAGAACACTAAATAAATCTGCTTTTTTTTTACTTTTGCAAAGATAAATTTTCATGATAGTGAATGTGCTGCATGCTGATTTCCCCAATTTGACTGTAAAAAATATTAATTTAAAAAATCACCAATTTTTTCATAAAAATTTAACATTTTAACAGCATCTATGATTTTAATCATTTAGGAGAGAACTTCTTTAATCTCTAGACTATTTCTCAATCCCCTTTTGCTGGTCTTTAATCTTTTCTGCAGCAAACTCATCATCATTTATAATCCAATCTGTTAGTTTTCTATGAATGACTTTAAATCAACTTAATTTTATGATCCTAGTTGAAAATGTTTATCAGTTGTCTGTCTTGAGATAAAGTTCTATTGTAAAGAGCAATGACATCTCATACTCACACAACTCTTGTATATTTACCTAACACACACTTCCAGAAAGCCTGCATTCAGAGTTAGCAACTAAAGTTCTAAATAGCTGCAAGAGAATATACCTAAATTATTATAACAGTCAAAATCCTGCCATATTTGGCCTTGTCCCATCTCTCTTCTTAAGATATCTTTTCAAAACTTTCTCTACTAAACTATTTCCTATATCTTGACTATCTCATGCATTTTCCATATGTCAAAAATACTAGATTTCATTCTGTATATTTTCACATTTCCTATATTCTTAAATCAGTACTTATATAACTACTGGGTAGCTATATAAAGCTAAGTAAGATGCATCCGACCTTGTTTTCATGCTTATGGTTTATTTATATTAGAAAGTTATTTCCTGCAATGATATCTTAACAGAAGAGTGGTAGTAAAGTCATGTTGTTGTTAGGTGCCGTGGATTTGCCTGCGACTCATAGCAACCCTCTGAACAACAACTGTGAGCTCAGCTCTATACTGAGCCAGTCTCACTGCCTCTGACATATGCACTCCCATCACCCAGTTACCATAATGTCTGCTTACAACTCTTCCTCCTCAATTGTGTTTCCCATTGTTGAGGACTCAGCATCAGGTGCCATATATTCTTGTCTAAGTGTTTTGCTCTACTGTACACAGGGTTTTCTAAGGCCTATTATTTCAGAAGTGAATGGCTAATCTTTCTTCCTAGTCTACCTTAATTTGGATGCTTAGTTTTATGACAATAATATGACAGACAAGCATTCTATCTAAAGAAAAATCATACTTCTGTGTAACACCCCTAGCAGGATTGTAGAAATAACCGACCACTTTATTCTTGGGAAGCTCTGGTGGCCTAGAAATGAGGAGCTGTGCTGTCAACCTAAAAAGTACAGAGTTTGAATCTTCTAGCTGCTCCATGGGAAACAGATGGGCAATCTCCTCCAGTGTGATTAACTGCCTCTGAAAACCTGCTGAAGGGTCAGCAATGGGTCAGTTCCAACGTGATGAAACACAACAACAAATGCATCAATTCCTTTGCCTTTGATTCACATGTACAAATACTTCTGCCATTATAATTCATGAATCCTTTCTCCAATATTTTGTTTGAACCTTTATTAAAGTCCCATTATATTTTGCCCTTTATGGTGTATTTATAACCCTATCTGTCAATTTGCTTGACTATGGTGATTTATATATTTCTATCATGCTGGGAACTGTGCCATATGTATTTAACATAGAGCCGAATCATACATCACCATCTGTTTCAGTAGATGCCAGACTAAAACAGCCTGAGAAGAAAGGTTTGGAGAACAACTTTGAAAACTTATGGATTACAACAAAGTATTTTACTATATAGTGTCAGAGGATAAGGACCTTAGGTTGGAAGGCCCTACATAACAGCCACGGTCATGCATTTAAATACACCAAAAGTTAGGAATGTAGCTCAAGACTGGAAAACTTTTTGTTCTGTTAGGTAAAGCCCCCTTGGTGAGAGCTGGCTCAAGAGCAAATAACAGATCTCATATTACAGATTTGTCTTTACATATTTGTCTTTGCTATCAGACTGAGCAATTTGCATTGCTGAGTTTCAGTTGAGCTAATCAGATGGAGAAGAATTTAATTTCTTTCTTTCTTTCTTTATAATTAGAGTTGTGTAGGACAGTGCTTTCTTCAGGAAAACACATATTCACATGGAATAGTTGTTTATTGAGTTAGAAATTTTGATCAAAAAGGAAGATCAGTACATATTTTACTATATTCACACCACATGCTAATAATATTATATACAGATTATACATGCCAATAAGTGTTTAGAATTAAATAAAACTCTGCAAAACATTTAAGGCCTCGTATAACAACATTTAGGAAACACAATCAATTTTTTGGCTCTAAGTGGAGTAATATGACATAAGGATTGGAGGAAAATTCATCAACAACCTACGCTACACAAATGACACAACCTTGCTTACCAAAACTGAGGAGGGCTTGAGACATTTGCTGCAGAAGGCTGTCGTCTTTGACTATAAGTATGGATATTAAATATGGATTGAAGCTTATCATCAAGAAAACAAAGATTCTCAACGCTGGGCCGATTGGCAGCATCATGATAGATGGTGAAGAGATTGAGATATTTAACAGCTTTAGTTTGATTCACTCCACAATCAATGTTGTTGGTACCATAAACCAGGAAATCAAAAGACTTAGTCTGGGCAAAGAGGGCCAAAGAGAAGAATGAAGAATTCAGAACTCAAATGTTGATGGCCTTGCCTGCTTCAGATAAGAAGGCAAAAGGCTTGCCTGCCTGGCTAAGCTAGCAGGTGGCTCATAAATCAGAATGGAATGTCCCTCCCTAAAGACTCTGTTTATAAAAATCCTCCCCAGTAAGTTCACAGTGTGACTTCCCATTCTGCCTCTCCAGGATGAGGAACTCACCCAGGAGCTCCCCTTCCACCCCCCTTTAATAAAGCTGCATTACGCTTTCTCTCGTTCTCTCTGATTTCTTCTTTAAGTCCACTAAACTAACCTAACCTAACAAAGACAAAGTGCATTAGGAAAACATGCTTTCAGGGACATTTTAAGAGTACTGAGGAGCAAAGATATAAGTCTGGAGACTAAGGTGTGCCTAATCCAGGCCAGGTTGTCTCAATTACACACAATGCATCAGAAATCTGGATAATGACTAGGGATAATAGAAGGAGGATTGATGTTTTTGAGCTGTGGTGCTGGATAAAAGTATTGACTATATCATGGATTGCTAGGCAAACAAATAG